ATCATTTCAGATTTAAAGAACTTTCAGAAGTTTGAATTCTGAATATGAGCGACTTTTCCTTTAAAGGCAGAGAAACATTTAGAGGCGCTTAAAAGTAAATGCAGCAACTGCAAGCAACCACAAGATGGCGCCATGTGACTGTCCCATCATATCTCATCTTCTCTTTAAGCTTCTACGCGCCTGATTTTCTTCTGTGAAGCTGAGCCGCAAAGGAGACAAAGGACTGTTTGCATTTGGACTTTTTTAAATCAAACCAAACAAGTTTCCGTTAAATTGAGGGATATTTTTCACACAGTAGATTTCATCTAGAGATTGCATTGAAGGGAGAAAACAGGCAGTTTTCTTCTTGAAAGTTAATGTATAAAACAGTGTTTTTTCCTTTGTATAAATGGGGCTCTGATTAGATTTCCCACCATGGCTTGATCCGGTCAGGAGGAGGATGCCGCTTTCCTTTGTTGTCTCCATCTCCACTTTGTAAAACTGACCAGGGCTTGGTGAGACCTGGAAGGCGTCATGTGACTCTCAGTTGTGGCAAGATATCCACGCAACGACAGAGAGGAGGAGGGAGGGCTGAGGAGGAGCCTGCTGCTATAAGATGCTCTCTGCGCACCATCAGCACCAAAACTTCCAGTTCCCCGGTCATCCTCTGCCTCCCAGTGCGCACACGCTGATCCTGGCTTCTCTCCTTTGATCCCCCCCTCCTCCCTGCTTGGAGGGTGCACAGGTGCATCCCTGGGTTACTGCTCGCTCTCGGCTGACTTGATTATGGTCACAGCCCCCGCGGTGCCAAGGTGGAGCCACAGCGCGTATCTCGGATCGGTGCGCTTCTCCAGGGGCTGGGATGCGCACCGGGCACCTCTCGCTTCCTGCCGAGCTTTGGGTCTGAGGAGGAGTCGAGCGGCGGCCCGGGGCGCAGAGGCAGGAGGAGCCAGTCCACCCGGAGCAGGATGCCGGTGATGAGAGGGCTGCTGGCCCCGCAGAACACCTTCCTGGACACCATCGCCACTCGCTTCGATGGCACCCGTGAGTAACCAGCTCCCACCTTCTGCTGATCCTGTTACCTGCAAACAGACATTTATTACGCTTTACTGCAGGAAATAAACACCCTACTTTCTTTTCTCTGTTCTTCATAAGGTTGGAATTATTTTTTTAAAAGATTCAACTTTATATAAGTTTTCTTGTGAACCAGAATCAAACTCAAAGTGCTTAATTTGAGGTTGGACCCCCAGGATTGGTCCAGTTAGAGGTGTAACACATTCATCATGATGGTTGAACTTTAAAATCAGGTTTATGGAGTTTATGTTGCAATGCTGCACCTCTCCCACCTGTTGCTGTGCACTGTTGCACAGCTGGCTGTGCACAAAATGCATCCCTACAATTCTCCATTAAACAATTAAGATGTGTAAATGTTGGCAGATGCTGCCGTCTTTTTGACCCCTTCTATCAGGAATGTCTCTACAGGAGCAGATAGTCTGACTAATGAACCTGCTATGGTTAAAGTCCCAGTGTTATCCTGGAAAAGGAAATTTCTCCTGAAAGATGGTTTAGATTAAAAGATTAGATGGTTTGGCTTAAACCTTGCATCATAATGTAAACATTATAACTGCTGTGACTGTATGGATAATTGTCTCTTTGATGTTATAATGTAAAGCATGTTAATTAGGTTATACTTTCTGCTATATTTATTTGTGTGTCCATGAGGCGTGATATTCTGCTTGAGGTTGTCATGCAGCGAGGCCCCCACTGGAGCTGGATCATAGGGGCCCTCATAGGCCAACCGGATGCAAATGTTCATCATCTACTGTACGCCTCTAAATGTGTTCAGCCTGCGTCTGCCTGCTCATGTCAGCCAGTAGAATCAGACGGTTTAAAGTTCACAGCGTGCGGCCCACTCAGAGCCAGAGGAGCAGTCAGACCTCCTCCTTTATTCTGATTCACATTTTATTTTATTTTAT